ACGATCTATAGGCTAATCCATTAAGCCCCGCCCACTGAACACGTGGGCAACAACACGTGACCCCATCCAATGCCACACTGCATGTTCCAGCTCGTGCGTCAAACGCACGCGCACGCATGGCGGACTTTAAGTGCACGCATGTCAATATTTAATCGCAGCTGTAACTGGTAAAGAAATCGTGTCAATGGATCGGTGTTTCAATGGAGTTCACATCTTATAATTTTCAGCCAATCACGAACGTCTGCTGATTCTCCTCACACGCTATCGGTCCTTCGATACCACTATCGTAAGCTCTGCACCGTCCATTTACATCCAAAAAGTATAAAAAGTCTGTTTCGTTCTTCAAATAGTCATTCCGGCGATTGTCGTCAACTAGCAAGCTTATCTCTACTTCAGGAGCACAACAGCATCAACTTCATGTAAGTAGCTTACTTTGTCAGTATTTTCAATCCATCGTCGAAATCCGCCCTACCTTTCACGGCTAAAACGACGCGACAGCTTGCATTGTGTTAGCTTATCTGTATAAGATGCCAAAACGTTCGTCTTACAGGCCTGTCACGACCAATACACGACTCCATAAGAATTACCAGTAGGTAACTGGTTCGTTCAAGTGGTTTCAACTGGTTCCTGTTGATTCCATCAGAATGACCAGTTATTACTCGGTCGTTCAACTGGTTTCAACTGGTTCCTGCTTATTCCATCAGAACTACGTACAGTTATTATTGGTTTGTTCAGTTGGTTTCAACTGGTTCCTGCTGATTCCATCAGAACTACCAGTTATAACTGGTTTGTTCGGTTGGTTTCAACCGGTTTCTGTTGATTCTATCCGAATTACCATCTGCCTTTATCCGAGTTAACTCGGGGAAGCTATTCGAACGAATTCATTTAGGGAATAGACCCTAGACATGATGACGTCGACGATTGCTAACGCGCGCTTTCCTATGGGTGCCAGTTCTGGACGAGCTCTATTTTAAGCCATCGTGAGAATAATGCACCCGCGAGTACGGTGGTAGGTTTTCCACGTTCCCGCCGTCCTCCGAGTCTGCTAGTCACCGCTGATCTCGTTCATGTTCGCTGCAAAGCTAGATTGTGAAAAGTCCATCCTCTGCAACATTAAATTACATTTGCACGCACCGGCGAGTGTCTGCGTACAAAATCCGTCCAATATGAGAGCACGAAGAAAATTTGAGTTGACCTGCGCGCACAGCGATGGATGGATTTTGGTACCTTTCGGGGATTTCGTCAGCTTTTGCACCGTGTACTAGGTGATTCAGTTTCCATTGTGAACATGTATTAAGTCACAAGTGTATTTACGTTGATCGTTAACCTGATATTCGTTCAGTCCAATAGCTCTCTTTAAATCATTTGATTTGACGCCATAGATGCTGGAGTCGCGTTTTCGGAATTTGTAGATCAAGATATCTGCAGATACAGATTTCAATTTATCTTGTTAACCACCAGCTAAACTGAGTCATTACACCTCTGGCATTATCATGATTAAGACAACATGGCAGGAAACCCATTGATGCCCGATGCATGCAGGTATATGGAACTAGTACCGTTCTTGTTGTGTATATTTGTATTATTCTGGGTTACCGTATCTTTATGCAGTCAAGATGAAGGCTTATATCTGCTTGGTCGTTCTGGTGTGCCTGGGCTCTGTCCTCGCGGCCGAAACTAACGAAGGTAACATTTTCTTTCTATTTCTCGTTTTTGTTTTTTGTTTTGTTTTTGTTTCGCCGCTTTGAATGCGGGCAAGTTAAACCACGATGGCCTGGTGAAAGGCTATGGTCGCTGCTGATTGTAGATGAGCAAAATGGAAAGAACAAAATTAAAGCAAAACTTACAAACTGAATTCGAAAATCTATAGCACCCCGTGGAAGTTGTGAAAATTCTACCTTAATTCAATAAAGATCCTTGTTTTCTGTGTAAGAAATTTTCTGTGTAATATCTAGCGTTACAATTTGTTATCCAAATGGACGCACTGAACTTTCTTTCTTGCTTTCTTTTCAGCCGACGAGTTTGGTGTCAAACAATATTTTTGTAAGTTTCTGCAGTTGATTTCTTCTTAATTTTCCTGTTAATCAGATTTAATGTTCACATTCAACACGCTTCCAATGTACCGATGCATTGTATAATATTGCGATGAACTTCATATTTCAATCCGATTGCTTTATTCTCAGTCTGTGACATCAATAATCAATGGCCGTACCAGTGCCCTCCCGGCTCGATCTGTGTGCCAGCACCCACTCCCACGGGGGGCAAGTGCGCGGCTTTTAAGAAGAGAATGGCAAATGTTGAAGGTAAATTTCACTTCTCCCGAAAAATTGACTTAACAGTCGTTATAGGGGTGTTATTGTTACCAAGACGTAAATTTCCGATAATTATTCAATATTAATATGAGGATTTTTTTTTGGGGGGGGATGTTTTGTTTCAAAACTGGGATTTACTGTAATTGACTTACCTTGAAGCCAATGGAACCCTATTTTAAAATAGAATCATTGGAAAGCAACAGTGTGTCCCGTTTCCTTTATAAAGAGCACGGGGCACGCATCTGTAACGCAGTGAACATAAAAAGTGAACAGTCAACATCTTCCCGCTTCATTGCTCTTCAGTTGACAAGTTGGGGCAGCTCAAGCGGAGTAGTTTCTCGGCTTATTTTCCTCTTTTTTGAAGTATGTTCCTTTAAACGGATGCAGCTCAGTTGAACCACATCCATATTTAGCATCAATATACAATCCACCAATCGGACCAGTAGTAAAGTATTGACACGTTTTAGTGGCCATTCGACCTTACCTTAATAAAGGTCCTTGTAATTATCTGTGTAAGATTTAGTGTTGACATTTTTTTTCATCCAAACCGACGCACTGATCAGGAATAAAATGTACTTCCCTCTCTCTTTCTTCCTTTCTTTTCAGCCGACGAGTTTGGTGTCAAACAAGATCGTAAGTTTTTGCAATTGATTTCTTCTTAATTTTCCTGTTAATCAGATTTAATGTTCACATTCAACACACTTCCAATGTGCCAATGCATTGTATAATATTGCGATTAACTTCATATTTCAATCCGATTGCTTTATTCTCAGTCTGTGACATCAATAATCAATTGCCGTACCAGTGCCCTCCCGGCTGGCTCTGTGTGCCAGCACCCACTCCCACGGGGGGCGAGTGCATACGTTTTAAGAAGAGAATGGCAAATGTTGAAGGTAAATTTCACTTCTCCCGAAAAATTGACATAGCAGTCTTTATAGGGGGGTGTTTTTGTTACCAAGACGTAAATTTCCGATAATTATTCAATATCAATATGAGGATTTTTTTTTGGGGGGGGGATGTTTCAAAAATGGGATTTACTGTAATTGACTCACCTTGAAGCCAATGGAACCCTATTTTAAAATAGAATCACTGGAAAGCAACAGTGTGTCCCGTTTCCTTTATAAAGAGCACGGGGCACGCATCTGTAACGCAGTGAACATAAAAAGTGAACAGTCAACATGTTCTCCGTCTCATTGCTCTTCAGTTGACAAGTCTGTTTGTTTAAGTTTGCATCAATATAGTCTGAAACATGTATTCCCCCTGCTAATTCGTGTTTCATCCCGAAAGTAGATTTTTTTTCAATTGCTATTTTCCCTCGAGTATAAAACAAAGACACACCGAAATCAACCGACGTTTAGTTTATTGAATTATTGCTTTAACAAATTCGACTTATTTAGGACCCGACAATAACTCGGTTCCATAAAGCTCAATTAAATTAAGTTTAATATAGCTCTATGGTCGCAGCTGATTGTAGATGAGCAAAATGGAAAGAACAAAATTAAAGCAAAATTTACAAACTGAATTCAAAAATCTATAGCACCCCGTGGAAGTTGTGGAAATTCTACCTTAATTCAATCAACCTCCTTGTTTTCTGTGTAAGAAATTTTCTGTGTAAGATCTATAGCGTTAAAATTTGTTATCCAAAATGACGCACTGAACTTTCTTTTTTTTCTTCTCATTGCTCTTCAGTTGACAAGTAGGGGGCTGCTCAAGCAGAGAAGTTTCCAGGATTATTTTCCTCTTTTTGAAGCTATTATTCCTTTAACGGATGCAGCTAAGTTGAACGACCCTTATTTAGCACTGAAGTAATGACACGTTTTAGTGGACATTGAAATGAACGAAAAAGCCAACGTAAAAGTGGATATCTTCTGCATGCATTCCACCCATCGGACCAGTCGAGTACGTTTTCGTGGACATTCGACCTTAATTCAATCAAGATTGCTGTAATTTTCAGTGTAAAATCTAGCGTTAATACCGTTTTTTCATACAAACGGACACACTGACCAAGAATAAAATAATTTCGCCCCCTCTCTTTCCTTTCAACCGACGAGGTTGCTGTGAAGCAATATCAAATATCCAGTTCTTAAAGCTGTATTCCCCGAGCTAATTCGTGTTTCACCCCGAAAGTAGATTTTTTATTTCAATTGCCATTTTCCCTCGAGTATAAAACAAAGACATACTGAAATCAACTGACGTTTACTTTATTGAATTATTGCTTTAACAAATTCGACTCATTTGCGGCCCGACAATAAGTCAGTTCCATAGAGCTAAACCAATACCGAAAAAGTGATTTTATTTTCCTCATTTATTGTTTTGTTTTGGTCTTCATTTCAGAGTCCTAAATGCCAACAGCCTCGGGATGGTGAAGTCGCAATTGATTAATTATTACGGTGAAGGGTTTAAGTTGTATTGTCTTTGCCTTGTTCGAGTTAAATGAGACTTTTTAAATTAACATGTAGTTGAAATTCCTCCCAAAGGAAGAAACTGTTGACAAAGCTATACTACCATGAGTAAATCACACATTGTCAAAATTACCATTTTAATCTGATCCTAATCTGAATCTTTATCTGGAAATGAATATTAACAACACCCGATGGGTGTCACGATTGTGATGCTACCACTGCGAGTTTTTCTGACACAATTTGCTATGGGAAATGTTTCCTTTGCATCGCATTCATGTATCATTTTGTGTTGTTATTAATAAGCCAATGAGGCCTTCCTTTTAACCCTAAAGGGCCGGGGCGGAATCCACCCCCCCCCTCAAACTTTTTCCGCGATAGCCTTGAATTTTTTTTTCGCGAGACGAGCTGTTCTGACTTTTTAGCCTCGAGTCTTGCGCATCTCTTGATTCCAAAAACATAAAATTCGGACCACGGGTTGCCACGCAGCGAAACTGAATATCCCCATATACGTATAGTGTACACACAAAAAGCAGAATTACTATTCGTACATATGAATAATTAATTAGCCATAATTCCAAAACCCTTTGACCTATAGTCATAACATTTCTTGGGTATGTTTACGATAAGTTGTTCTATGCGTGTTCCAAGTTTCATAATTGTTCGTCACTCGATGGCTGAGATCTTAGAGAGATGTTTGATTCCGGCTGGGATAATAACCCGGCCCTTTTAGGGTTAAACTTGCGATGTAGGCTAATGGAAAATCATACGCTAATATCTGAACTAAACAAACGCATGAAAAGTCATTCTAGGTGGTGGGTTTTAATTCGTTCAAATGTAATCACATTTAAGATTTCTGTTGAATAAATGCTGTTGGCATGGTATGAGCTCCTGCGACTAAAGTTATCTCGTTGTAGCCTGGGTTTTTATTGGTCACATATAAATATGTCCTTTTAAATAATTGTAGAAACTGTAGAAGTTAGCAAAGTTGCCGTTGTCGTGTAAAGCCAACCGAGCAATGTACTAACTGAGCTGGCTGGAGCATGAAATATGTGGCTTCGATCGCCATCTTCAAGCATAATTTGTTCGCCTGTAAAATGTTGTCTATTCAGTCTAAAAAGTCCCTGATCACATTTGACCCTAGCCTTTCGCCAAGTCCATCGTGGTTTAACTACTGGGGCGGGACGAAACGACTGGGGCGGGACGAAACGACTGGGGCGGGAGACCACACACGCGAGTAGCAAATCCACGAGGCCTTTTCCAACTTGTCAAGATTTTCTTACGTTTTTCTTTGTAATCTCGATTTTTGCTACCCTAAAAGGGTCATTAGCCTTTTAGGGCGCACGTGGCTTCAACCCAGGCGCGCGCGCACCCCGGATGCTGACACAAAATTAAAAAAAAAAAGCGAGTCTAGTGTTCATTTTCCACGAGATCGTGACTGCGCAATGGTTCTTTCATTATCTTATTACAATTTTACTTATATAAGCATTTCAAGAAATTATTTTAGTGTATGAACTTATTTTGTTTAGTTATTTCCTCTTACGTTTTTTCGAAAATCACCCTTCTTTCACAAATGGACGCAACTCGGCAAAATCTGCGTTGTGATTGGTTAACCTTTCAGCACTCTACTTATTTGCATAAAAAATATGAATAATTCAACAAAACAAGTTAGAAAAAGCATCGTGGCTTCGCCACTCGTGCGTGCTGTATTAGCCTTAAGCCACAATAGCCTTGGCGAAAGGCTAATTTCACCCGGAATGCGAGCCATATGATACCTTCCCGGGTCTCATTGAAAATGTTCCGGGTCAAATGATCCAAAAAACTGATCGAGAGAAGTATCATTGCGACCTGGACAAGTATCGCTTTGACACGAAAAGTATTATTTTGACCGAATGTAACCTGACTTGGTATTTTTTCTGAGTGTTTAACAATAGTGTTGTATCTTTTTGTTAAGATCACACAAAGGTGATCATCTTTGGATGGAATTTTTCTCCTAAAAGTCATACAAAATTAAAGATTCGTAAGATGATAAAATTAAAGATGATGAAAAAAAATTAAATTCGAAGTGTGTCTCAATAATTTTGGAAAGTGCGCGTAATTGCACTGAGGTCTATGTCAGTCTATTTACTGGTCTGCGCAACCTTTAATTAAAAATGGCTGCCTCCATGATGATGCAGTTACAGTGAGGTCGCTCTTTCTCATAATGACAATTTTCTGGTGAAGGGCAAAATTTGGATCCTTGATGGACACTGAGAATTTGTAGGGGGTGTCCCCCCCCCCCCGCGAATCTTTCTTTTTTTCAAACAACAACCGCCTTCCATCTTCTGATTGGTCCATTACATGCATATATAATGCCTTGTTCTCCACAACAACCCAAGATAGGCTTTTACGTCTTGTGAGAAATGTTCCTTCTCCACTTTAGTTATTTAAGGTAAAATGAGAGGACGTGAACAACGCTCACTGGGGATCGAACTCGGATGACCTGATTAGAAGTCAGGACTACTTCCAACCCGTCCACAAATCCGGGTCAATCGTCGGAGATTTAAACACCATTATTCCTTGTTATTCTCTAAAGCCTGGACATCATGAATATACATAACGCAGAAAGAGCGCCCTCTCTTGATATTGTCCGATCTCGTTTGGGAAAAAAAAAATCGCGCCCGGCTACGTAAGGAGCTGCGAGGTAACATAGTTTAAACCTAAGAGGGAATTTAGACTCCAATTAGAGAGCGGGAAATCTTAATGTAAACTTCATTACACAGCGAGGCGTACAAGCTGTTGAATGTTCAAGCCTGTTTAGACATTTGTTTTATGAAATATGATTCATGGGTCCTTCCTTTTGCCTGAAATGTGGCCTGGTTGAAAATTGCAAGGTTTTGCTAAATGAAGGGGTGAAGGCCAGTAAATAGGCCCGAAATTGCCTACGCCTGCCAATTCACGATTTGCATGCCCTCAGAGCACTTTCAGGGCTGTTTTTTTAGTTCACGTCGTTATTTTTTTTTAATCACCGAAAAAACCTTTTGGCTTTTTATATAAAATTATACTAATTGTCCAACAATACACACATTGTTCACCAAGGGCAAAACGTTTCCCTGTCAGTCGTTGAAGGTTGGGGGTCATTTTCACGCCAGAGAGCGCTTTTCCTCTTTTGCTCATCTGACTTTCTATAATTAATATTTGACAAATGTAATTGTTGAGAGAAGGGGGATCATGAATCACACCGAGTATTAGTCGTCCTCTTCTGGTTGAACCAGATGATATGGGTTGACTTCAGCGAATTCTCCGCAGTCCAAATTCATTCGGTAATCGTGTAGTTGAGGACACCTCTATTTTTTTTTACAAGTTCCGTTCAAAGCTTATTTGTGATTAATCAAAGCCCTGCACTTATATATCCAGAAGATATTACGCTTCTATGATCATCGCCAAATATTTAGGTTTGAAATCCTAAACATGAAGTGTCTTTTCGTTTTTATACTGAACTGGGTCCTAAACTACACGATTACAATTCATTTTAATTCATTTTTTCCGACATAAAAGTATTTCAAAATGACTATCGCCAAGTATGTAGGGTGGCAGATAGGCCAATGTGGAGGGATTGTGCATTTGATGATATGATACAAGTATGGCATTTTGGCACACAGTCAGAGTATGTGATAAAAAAGATATCGGTTGTAGGGTCATCGCAGATTTGTCCTTTGAAAGGGGGCGGGGGCTCGTACCATACTTTCAATGGGGGCGCTGTTCAAATCCGACGATTATTAACACTATATTGCAGAATAGTGTACATATACACCCTAACCAAGCTGGCTCTGTCAGTATTTTGTGCAAAGGCGGACATTATTACCAGTATCATTTTTTGGATGTCAGAGCAGGGGGGGTGTTTGCATTATTTGTAATGAATTTCTGTGAATTTGTTTTTTTGACATAGCTGTTTCTTTTTAACCCCCCCCCCCCCCGGATCCGAGCCTGGAAGGAGGTTAAACTCAAAAAAAGCAAGGAAAATGCATCTTCGATTGATTAATTTTGTTGTGATGACTGCAGCAGAAATATAGACTTCATGCAAATAATTGAATAGATTATACGAAATTAATATGGCGCACATGGCCGATCGAAATCTCGCCAGCAACCCGAACAGACATGTGATTCGTGTTGTTGCTAAATCGGCTGGAACTGTTTTCGGGCCATAGCCGAGAAAAGTGGGGAAAGCAGACAGACAGGGCGGGCGGGCGAGGGGTTAAAAGAGAAAGTAGAAGTTGGATAAACTTTTTTTTTTTTGATATCAGGTTTTATACAAATTACAAACCACACACTCACAAAATCCAACACTAAATTGTTTAAATTTGTCTTGAAATGCGCAAACAGTTTAAAGATTTGCAACAGAAATATAAATGGCAGTGACTGATGGGATCCAATTTAAGGGGCCTCATTTTCTGGAGGAGGGCACTCAACTATATTTACAAGATCAACGCTCCGTTGAACCTCCCAAAATTCTAAGAAGGTGGGGGATTCACGGGGGAGGGGCATAGGCCATGAGTGGGGTAAGCCTTTATATACGCCACCAGGAAACTCTTGATACACAAAATTGTCGTTTGAATGCTTTGTTGCTGGGTGGGTTTATCTTCAAAACAAAATACTTCAACTATATTTTTCTTATTTTAATATGTTATTGCGAAGATGAAGTAGCCGAAAGCAGGTACAGGTGTATTTCGAGTGTGACCCCGAAAAAAGATGTTATTTTCAATTGCTGTTTTCCTAGCGACATGAAGGTTATTCACTTTTGAATGAGACAATAATTAGGTTTGAAAGCCTAAACATGAAGTATCTTTTCGTTCTTATATGGAATGGTGTCCAAAACTGCACTATTGCAATTCATTTTTTCCCGACATAAAACTATTTCAAAATGACTATCGCCAAAGATAGTTCGGTAGATATGTGGAGGGATTGAGCCTTTGGTGATACAAGAATGGCATTTGGCACACAGACAGAGTATGTTATAAGAAAGATAGCGGCTACCGAGCATAGGGTCATCGCCTATGTCGTTTGAAAAAAAAAAAATAGGTAGAATAACAAGCAATGGCAGTCATTTCGAAAATGGGGGCGTTGTTCAACCGGATGATCATGGGTACTATATATAATACAATAGGTGGCGCTTTTCAGGGCGGCACAATAGGCGAGTTCGGTATTCCAACTACGTATGTGCACATCAAGATTTGCCGAATTTTCTTACGAGAAAAAAATCATTATATGCGAGCAAAAGCATAGCGGGGTACCAGCAAATTTGAAGAGAGCATCGTGCTATG